CACACACACACACACACACAAACACACACACAGTTTAAAGCCAATATAGACCAAACACAGTGAACATGAATTATGGTATTCTGTTCAGACAGTGTGATTGAACGGTGATGACGAATCTGTGATGAATTGAACTGTTGTGAAGTTTTTGTCTATTTACTGTTGCAACATGTCGTCACCACAATATATAAAATATGGAAATAATATGTTATGTGGACTTTGACTTTTGTCAAATTCTGGATGGGATTTTAGTTTTATTTTCATTTTGATATTTTGATAAATCACATCGTATTTTGTGGGTGGAGGTGTTGTGTTACCACCAATTAATATGTAAACATAGGTTGTGTTTTATTTGAAGTGTGCATTTAATTTTAGATTACTAAGCTGTACCTAGTTTCATCAGTGCAGTAACATTACATCACACTTTCCACTACACAGGACTCCAACAGTGACCATGCACCTCTTCAGGGGGCAGCAGAGGAGAGGCTGTCAAAGCCCGGCACTGAGGAGGAGACAGCAGGAGCAGCGGAGCAGAAAGAGGAGGCTCAAGTGAACGAGCAACCTCAATATGAAGTGAAGATCGAGGAGGAAAATGAACTCATAAAGCATTCAGATGAACAAAATGGACAACAACTCCAAAACGTCCCAGCAGCAGATCAGGAGCATTACCAGGGAGTGCCCGTACATCGGGGGCAACCTGAGATGTGAACTACAATCACACTAGAGATCGTTCTGGTCTCCTGGGTCCTGAGTACCACTATCACCTGAGAGAACGTCTTAGTTTTCCTCCTCAGTGAAGGATCTGATTTTACAATGGACTGTTTAATATTATTGATGCATCTGTTGAGAGTACTCCTGTCACTGTGTTGGAAAACTCCATCTATTGCTTTCATTGTGGATGCAAAAATATCTAAAGCTATAAAAGGGACAAAGGTCCTGAGTTCAAGATGCAATAATATCCGTGTTTGTAAAATGGAAGCCATCAGAATATTTCTTTTAAATAAATTTTGTTTTCCCAACCACAAAAAGTTGATAATTGAATTCTAAATCATCAAGATGTGCTTAATTTTGATTTTTTTTAAATCATCCTATTTATTTACCCATCTCTCCCAGACATGATTTTTCTTTGCAGAGACTGTTACAAGCAGCTCAGTGGTGTCATTAAATTTTAATCAGGCTTTCCTTAAAATGGGGTAAGAACACACATCTAATAATATATATTTTAATGAGGAATTAAATGTTCCTGAATGAGTTTGGGGTTTTTGAAATCATAGAGTAGCCGAGTTACAGTGCTGAGTTACAGCCGACCACCACCAGACTACAGGCTCATGAATGTTCATCTTCACAGGCAGTGACAGGAAGGCCCTGCTGAAACTAGATCTGATGCAATCTTAAATTCAGTTTTTATCTGTAAACTGGAATGTGTTTACAGCCAGACAGGGTTTACTGTTTGTCTTCCTTTGTTTAATTTTCTAATCATTTATGCATTTATACATCTGGAGAAAATAAAGTAAATACTGTCCCTCTCTCTTTCACTCTGATTCTGAAATGGGTTCAAAATGTCAGAACACAGTCTAAATAAAATTACATTTAAAAGGCAAAGGTCAAGGTCATAACATGAAAATTGGACATTTAGTCATGCAGATTTTCTCTTTTTCAAAAATGTTGTTGATCGGTTTTGTTGATCGGGTGCTTGATCAAAGTTTTTTTTACTGGATCACACATCCAGTGAAAAAGTCTTTGTTGTTCCAATTTTCTGATGTTACCATGAGGAGCTATATCGGGAGAAGTTCATGACATCTGGCACAAATATACCTCACTCAGACATGAACCTATTAGATTTTTCTAGATCACTGTGACAGCAAAAAAACAATTATTGGCCATAACTGCAAAGTTTATGTGCTAATAATGATGGGAAAATAATGATTATATAATAATAACTTACATTTTTTATCCAAAACATAAAGTCAGTGTCACTCTACTATCATAAAGTTCTGATAAAGCACTTTGATAAGTGCTCTCTCAGCTCAAGGAAAAAAAGGGAGATTGTTTCCATTTGACAGGTTAGTGAAGGGATAAAAATAACAGCCACAGCAAATTAGCTTATTTGAATCTCAAAAATCAGAAGCCTCCTCTCCCAGACTGTCAGACATCTGAACACCAGGTGAGTTACTGCAGCACCAGCCCAGCAGAGCTGATGCAGCCTACAGCAGCTGAGCTCTGAAGAAACACGAGCGCTATCTCATGGTTCTACAGGAAGGTATAATGGTTTGTTAAAATGCAACAGGGTCATCCTATTGGTTGTAATAATCTCTATTGACTGAACGAGAGTGTAACAACTGGGCATTTTGGAGGAAAAAGGATGAGTATTTTATATATAATGAAATCATATTTTCATAAATACTGGTTAGATACAGGGTACAACACTGGGGCACAAAACTGAAGGGAAATGGTGTTAACTTCAGTTTAGAGTGAAAGGAGGGAGAACACTGGTGCAAACCATCACCATCTTCCCTGCTGCTTCACACTAAAAGCTTTGACTCACAAGCCAAGTGGATGCTTTTATTGTGGTAATGTTTAAGACATGAATTTCAATGTGTTTCTGTCATGTTAATGGAGCTACAGCTGCTGGGCTGTTCTTATTTAAACAAGTCTGAGTGACCTGACATGGACATAATCTTTGTTATTTGTAAGTGGTTGAGTTTTTCATATTGCAGGTTTGAATAGTACTAACAGAAGCAGCTCATGAGCTGCAAAGATCTGCAGGCGACAGGCTCTTGTGACCAGGTCAACATCAACATGTCGTCAAGGTCAACAACTATATCTTCCTTCTATAGAAAACCTTAGGTGTGGTTAATACAGTAAATACACACAGACACACACAATGCCAGATGCATAACAATCAGAAGTAATGAACTGTACTGCAGGGATTTGACCACAAGATGTCCCAGTAACTCTGGGTAACACTATTGTGTCTGTTCTGGATTCAAGGCAAACATTACATCCCATTTAATTACATGACACTACACTACAGGTAATTATACCACTCAGTAAGAAAGAGTTAAGACTAACAAATAACAGATTGTTGTTATTCACTGAGAGCCTCAACAACTTTGAGAGTTTAACCTGCATCAAACAACCAGAGTTTATACAGCTCCACATTGATCTGCATTTTTAATAGTCATTATAACATTTAACCTTTTTTTACATCTCTCCTTTCCTTCACCTTTTAAAATGTTATGCAGTAACATTCAGTTGACTTATTTCATACTATATTACACTATTTACATTTTACCTCTATTTGTGTAAAATAGCAGTATACTTACAGTAAGAGTTTACTTGAGTACAAGTTACCAGTGTCCTTTATTTACAAATACAAAGACTGTTCACACACACACACACACACACACACACACACACACACACACACACACACAGTTTAAAGCCAATATAGACCAAACACAAGTTCCCCTACAGCCTTCCTCACCAACTCTTGGCCTGTGCTCCCGGTGTATGATGGGAGTTGTAGTCTGAAAGGGGCTTTATCATCTCCAACAACCCACTGCGAAGTCATGCAGACGAAAAAGGAAGAATCACGTCTGACAGAGAGAAGAAGAATAGTGACATAAAAACAAACACTTTAATTTACTGCTGCAGAGGATGTACAGCAACAAAATGCCAAGGTGGTTACACTGGCTTATTTACAGAAATGTTTATTACTGGGCATTGTCCCTGTAATTTAAAACCAAATAAATAAAAATAAATAAATACATGTCCTACTATTTACACACAAGCACAGTTAGTGATGATAACATTAGATGATGTGAAACACAAAAGTTTGAACAGAATCCCAGGAACTGATTTCTGCTCCTCCCTGACCCTCAGACTCCTTCACACTGGATTGAATGAAACTCTGCATGAAGAACTGATGAGTCAACAATGAATACAATGCCAATAGATCTGTACTAGATGCTTTACACAAAGCAAATGTTGTTTAGAAAGAATCTGCTTAAAATATCCAGTGTTAGAAATCCAGGTCATTCTGATGTTAGGGACAGTGTTGTGGTTGAAGGATGATTGTTGCATGATGTGTCTAAAGTGTCTGAATACATCCACATACTTACTGTATAACCTAGAAGCTGTTTATATGTGTCAGATCTACATGTCACACCTGCTGCCTACACATAAAAACATCAGTGTATGAACACAGCTGTGCTGCAGTCCTGCAGGCCAGTGAGACAGATGCTGAACCCTGTGCTCCATCATGGTTCCACCGACTCAAACCTCTGCATCTACATATACTGTAGCTCAGCACATCCACAGTGTCGAGCAAGCAGCACGAGTTGTATTTGTGGATTCAAGTGCAGTGAGGTCGAAGAGAATAGTTGATGGTTCCATGTGTAGCCTTTGGGACACACTTTAAAGACAGAGAGGTAATTATAACAGGCTTCTCCTCTGGGGAGTAAATGAGTGTAGATGATGTGTGGCTGTGTGTGTTGAGTTGCCATTATCCAGAGGTTTTGGGATTTGATTCTTTTTCGTCTTGGGTTTGAAAATATTTTCATGTCTGCTACTGAAACATGGACGTGGTAAACACACACTAGAAGTGCTGCTTATGGCACACAATTCATAATTAACATAATTGCTATCGGGTGGTTGACGGCTTTTTAAGTGGACGTTTTCGATACGGAAAGAAAAAATATCCTTCAGAAAAATGCAGTTGCTCACCAAGACTTCATAATGAATCATTAAAGTGGAGCGTGCGTAGGTCAAGCTTATGCAAATTTAATTGGATGTCACCACTTAGATATATTTGTGTTAAAATAACCACAATTACGAATGTAAACATAGAAACATTTTCTCCACTGAGCTGCAGCCTCATTACCTCCACTGTTATGTTCTCCTCTGTGTTTGTTTGTTTTTTAGTTTGCAAGATTACACAAAAACTACCAGACAGACTACCACAAAACTTGGTGGAGGGACGTGGTATGAGTCAGGACAGTTTTGGTGCTGATCCGAATCAGGGGGTGGATCCAGGAATAGGTTTTTCCCTTTTCTTTTATAACATTGAGAGATGGTTTATTTTCATAGATTCTCAGAGGATAACTCGTGGATCTTGATTAAAAAAGCAAAGAATCACGATTAGGAGACTGATATTTATAAGTGTTTGCAGTTTGGTGCAGAACCAAATTACAAATGGTTTCACAAGGGGACTTATGGGCCTTTCATTGAGCTATCTAGTTAATATTTATTATATTGTTATGCAGCTCATCACACTGCGATTTGGATCTTTCAGGATAAAACATGATTTTCAAAGGCCAGAATGTTAAAGAAGGCTCATTTTCAGTTCTTATGTGGTAACTATTAGACTCCGGGCAGGTGTGATGAATACTCAATGCATCACATTTCATTAACATGTGAAGGCCTCGATACCGACCTGGGACACATCAAACATCGTCTCTGCTGGAAGTGTCACCTGGATGACTCCTCATGTAGGACATTACAGATCACAGGGACAACACCCATTATGAGGACAACAGCTATTATCATAGGCATGTGACATGCAATTGCACACCCTGTTACACTGAAAATTACATGTCTGGGTTACTTACACAGGTTCAACAAGAAGTGGCAACCTGTTTTTACTGGGATCCAAAAAGTCAAGACACCTTCATTTAAAGGGACAACACTGATTATATAGACAGCACAAGAGATACTCACCAGCTTTATTCCATTTCTACTGATAAACATGGAGGGTTATTATTATCAGTCAGTATTGCTGATAGAGCAATATGTTCAGACGGGTTAAATACACAGTACATTTCATGATGGCTTACAGTTTTCATGCTTTATATGCAGACATGTCTGCTGATGTATAAAGATGAGTCTGATCCAAATAGGGGTGTCACGGTGGTGCAGTGGGCGTCACCTCACAGCCAGATTGTTCTCGGTGTGAATCCCCTCTGACTCTCAGAAGACAAGCGGTATTAATGGATGGATTGATGTTAGGTGCATGAACTAAATACAGCACTTCACATGACAGATGAAGAGATCACTACTGGATAGTCTAGATTTTTGAGAATTGAAAATGTGTTTACCATCAAGTTATTAAACTGACATTAAAAGTTTGACTAAACACACATTTCTTCTCTGAAGCCCCTTTTCCACTGGTCAAAACCCCATTAAAACCCACCAGCATCTGGCTTTTGTCTACAAAAGTAATGGATACAATCTGCAGTCACTCCTGGGTCAAATGACTCTGCAGTAGACACACGTTTTACTCGGCTCCAGGTCTGATCAGCGGTGATGGAACGAGACACCCGGACGAATGCACTAATTTGGCAGAAAGTGAGGGGATTCAGTTGCCGTGTACTCGTGACATCGAAATTGACGCTCTGAGGAAAAACAGAAACTCATCTTCTGGCAATGGGAAAGAAGTTTATTGCTTTTTTAGCAGGTTTATTGGCGTGTAAAAATAAAATATTAGAGAACTTCAGTCATGCTTTCAATTGAGCAGAGTTGAGTGAGCA